CACACCGTTTTCAGGTGCACTGCACTCTGTGACACACACACACACACACACACACACACACACACACACACACACACACACACACACACACACAGTGTTCGACTGAGACATTTCTGGGATTAGAAACGTTGTGGATGTTTGAGAAAATCAGAGACACTCACAGACAACCAGGACCCAGGGGATGTGGCCCTCGTTGTAGTGYGGGAGCAGGACCAGTTTGGGGACAAAGAAGGTGTTGTAGAGCCAGATCCCGAAGATGACGCTGATGCACAGCCAGCCCATCGGATCCACCACGAAGTGGAGTCGAAGCTTCATGGCTGCTTTCCCTAAACGGCCCCAGACCTCGCTGCGAAGACGAGTCAGATCCAAARTGAAGGCCTTAATAATGACCTTCTAACATTTCTCACCAGAACTGCTGATAAGACATCAGGTTAGAGTCGATGGATCGGACCTTAGAGTCGATCAAAAAAAGATCCTTTATTTCTGATTAGTCGGGTTTTAAACAGTGGCACCTCAAAACTGGTTTCACTCATCCACCTGCTCATTCTGTGCTTTGTTAGGTCCTTATCACCTGTGAGTTTCTCCCCACCTTATAATTTAAGGTGTGAATGATTATGAAACCACCTATGGGGGAGGAGAGTCCAGGGTGTGATGTTTGAGGCTACTTTTTCTATTTTACTGTTTTTTGTTCCCTTTTTTTTTTTTTAAAGAAAGCTTCTTTCAGTTCTGTTTTGAATTTCTTTCAGGACTATCTGGAAGAGATGTTGCAATGCAATAAATCACGAGTTAAAGAAAGTTTAAAAAGGTGAAGATACAACAAATATAYTAGTCCAGAACATTTCACAACCAGTAAGCAAATCTCTGATTCTCAGCTTAGTCTGTGAGATAAACAACATTTAGGATGTTACCATGTATGTGGTCAACATGTAACCTGCAGGATCTTTTGAATAAATAAATCTGAGCAGGTAGTGATGATAACATCACTTTTACTCTGTTATTTGTTCAATAAAACAGTTAAACATTTTACGTCTGTGCTTGTATGCACCTAATATCTATCCATATGTGTTATAACATTTATTACTAAATATGATTTTAGGAAATACAAAATAAAACTGCCATTATTATCCTTTGTACATTGTTAAATAATGATAACAAGTAAATTATGGGAATTCAAAAGAGTAATGTTAATATATTAGGTGTAATTTAGATATGTTTAGTACAGTGTCACTGTGTGATAAACCAGGTGTATCATGTAAACAAGTTTAGTCTTTGCTGCTTTTAAATTAAACAACGCGACATTTAGTTACTAATATAACTCAGTTTAATCGTCATTAGCTTGTAAAACGTTGTTCCAGTAAAGCCTCATCATTCATACTGATAACACACTCAGACAGCCGTGACGGGCTTGGCTCTACAACCTCTTCCATGTTAGCTAGCATCAACGGCTAACCTTATTTCTTATTAATTTAACACGACGTGTTAACAAATAAACAAATTGTGAGTTGGTAACAATATTCAAATCCACAACGAGGTGATACTCACTTTTTCCCCCACACGGCGTTGTCCTAAAGAGACCACATCAACGTCGCCGACACTTCCTCGTCCGAGAGGGACCGACAGGACCTGCTACCTGCAATTAAACACCGTTTCCGGCCAATTTGTATTTCAAAATAAAACAACTTTGGAAAAACTCAACGCGAAAGTCGTCTCAGCCCAAAAACTACTACAAAATATGAAGTAGAAAGTCTAAAAACATAAAGTTTATGACCATTTTTGGTGGCAGTTTAGCAATATAATACATCCTGGTACAGACCAAGTAAGAATCAGTAGGTATGGATATGTAGATGTACTTTGTAATTGCCTGATATTTATCTAATTCATACCCGAGAATTACAAGTTAGTACCCCTGTGAATACCAGAAAGTTACACAATACTTATTTGGAATGCACTGGTATTTATCTGGTACTTAAAGGGTATTTACTGATAAATACATGGAACTTACAGATAGTAATTGAATTTACCTGGTRTGTATATAATAATAGGCTACATCCTGTACTTTTAAGTAGTTACTTACCTGGTAAGTATTTTATTTACATGTACTTATCTAGTACTTACATACTGGATATGTTTACAAGTACCTACCTATTACTTACCCGGTACTTACTAGGTAGTAATATATGAAATATCTAGTACTTATCTATGTACATGTTATATAAATACAATGTACAAAGTGGGTACCACATCAAGCGGGTACATATGATTTAACAACCGATTTTATTTTGAAATCTAGGATTACTTGCGCCTCGTGACACACTTCAACTTCCGCTAGCATTAGCGGCAGACGTTTGTTGACAGCAACGCCGCTTAAGTTTCATTTTATWGTCTTGGTAAAAATGGCATCGTCCAATTCATATAAACTCAGGTGCTCCATCCCGGGCCACGAGATGGACGTGAGGGGTCTCGCCAGTGCTAGTTTTCCCGAAGGAGCGTTCGTGTCTGTGTCCAGAGACCGAACCGGAAGAGTTTGGGTGCCGAACTCAAGGTAGTTAGCGTTAGCATTAGCCTCGAGTACCTGTACAGGGAGGCCAACATTTTATTTAGTCACCAAGTAACTGTTGGGCCAAAAAAACGCGTCTGGTCAAAACATTGAGCTACGTGATTAATTCCTTTCAACAAGATTTGTTATTATCTGTTTTTAGCAACCGATAGCTTGAATGCTAACAGTTGCTCAAATTAGCTTTGTCATTCATTTTTCAACAGATCTGTTAACGTTAATGCCCTTTATCGATTTAACGCACAAATACTGTATGTGTTTTCAAGTATATAGTTTAATATTTGTTTACAATGCAAGACTCGGAATATTTTGAAG